GCCCCTAGGTGGCTACCAAACCCTTAAACATTGCCATTTGTGGCTGGGTAAAATGAGACTGTTCTGTCCTTTGGATTTACGAGTGCATGAGAGATCCATGGCCTATGGAATATTTAAGAGACATCTTTGACATCCTCTGGCATACCAGTAGTAAACTTCATCTCAGCTGGGAATTAGCTTCTTCTCCTCAGCACTGCTCCTCTGTGCCTGGCTGACTGTTGTCCTTTATCCTCTGCAATAATGACGATGGCTGAAAATGAATGTGGGACAACTGGTGCCAGTTTCCTCATTTTAGCAGCACATGGACATTTGTGTGGAAGTGTGAGCCAAGATGTTTGTGTTCATTCCCATCGTTCTCTCAATAAAATGATTTTATAAATAATCAGGCCTTAATTGTGTGATTCCAGTTAATGCAGAGGGGAGTTAATTAACATCTGGAACAAGTTTCCTGGCCTGAGCTATTAGCTGTGTCTGGTGCAGAATTCAAACAATGCATGAAGTGAGGCCTATAGCCAAATGATTTTGTACATAGCTGAAATGAGAAATGACCAAAGATGGATGAGCTATGGCAGCTGTGCCAAGAGAATGTCCATTTTTGGTAAGCAAGTGTAGGCTGTGTCAAGGCGTGAGCGTCGTGCCAGTGCAAGAGGTGCACCGTGCTGCAAAGAATAGGCATCACCTCGTGATTTATCCCTTCTGCTAATCCTCCAGTTCTCCCCTCTTGTCTCCAAAAGTCTCACGGATCTGTGAGTCTTTCACAGCTGAGGGAGGAACAAAGCTGCCAGCATGAAGGCCAGGTCTCCCGTGCAGCCTTGCTCATCCTCACTGTGCTTTATCCCATCTATTTGCAGAGTCAAAGAGGTGGATTTTATTTTGTGTCACCGAGAAGGAGAATACCAAACCACGAACAGTCAAAATCTGAACATCTCTCGTGTATCAAATACAGAAACTCCTATGCAGCCTTTTGCGCAGCATCATCTTTCCTACAGAGATGTCCCGGTCAAAGTGGGGATGGAGTATCTCTGGTTTGGGGTATTGTGAAATCTTTTTAGGTAAACCCAACCCATTCTGATCAACCTGGAAATACATTTTAAGAAAAAAATATTTTTTAGATCTTTTATTCTTCTGCCTTTTGTTTCTGCTTTTAAGCAGAACATAAGTCCACAGACAATTCAGCAACTTTGTATAATAAATGGCTAAAACTTGAGATTTGCTTACCATTTCTCTCCATTGCCTTTAAAACCATGACCCTATGGAAGAAAAGGAGCAAATAACACAAGCAGTGCTGATTCCTGTAATGGCACTCACAGCTGACCCACTCTGTGATCAGCCCCTCCAGGAAGCCAGCACTTCATGCATCATCTCCTCCAAGCATGGCAACTGATGTGGGGCATCTTGGCTGCACACAGGACATCACAGGACCATGGAAAGCCCTCAGGTTGGATGGAATTCCTGACAGTATTGCTTTTTTGACCAAAAGTCCCAAACCAGAAGCAGGTATGACAAAAAGCTTTTCACTCTTTAAACAATTCTGTTCTTAGTTTTTACTATGAAAAGACACTCAACATCCCCAGGAATAGATTTTCACATTTATCTTGTGAATCTCTGCATCTACCTAAGGCGGAAATAATATATCTGAGCTAGTTTAGATAGCTGCTCTCTTATTACCAATGCTAATGTGATGAATTGTCAGCCGAGGATTCTTATCCATATTCCTGTTTGGTAGAAACCTATGTTGTGTTTTATGCACACGAGTTTCCAGTGCTGCAGCTAGGAAGCATGCAGATGAAGAATGCTTCTCCAAATAATTCTCTCTCTAGTAATCATAAACAATCCTTGCTGAGCCCCAGCAGAAAATTGCAAACTGTGGTGCAAACTGTATTTCCATGAAGTTCTATTCAGTCACATGAAAGACAAGGAGAAAGAAGAACAAGTCAGCAGATGAACATGGGTGAAATGGAGAGCAGTGTAGGAAACGGGGGTGTGCAGTGTGGCACGACTCGGCTCCTCCTAGAAGTGGTCACCACTGAGTTGAGTGTCAGAGCTCTTCTTTGGGCTGTCAGGTGCCCCCACAACCACAGCCCCAGCCAAGTCCATGGGAATCTCCTCCTCATCCCATAGCAGAGTGACTTGCAGAGTTATGACAGCTGCCTTAATTGCCACATCCTCTTCTTTCTTTGCAATACCTATGGATTTGTCACTCAAAAGGAAGCAGTTTTCTGGTGATATAGGATAGCACTGATTAATCCACGAAGCTGCTGAAGGCCACACCATGCTTCCATTGAAATGAAGATGTCTGGGATAAAACCCTGCACTGCAGCCAGCTCTGGGGCCCACTTCAGAGGTAAAACAAGGGAAGGTGTGATGCTGGGCAATGCCCAGTGAGAGGCATGGGATGGCAGCATGCATTCCTAGACATTGAGGTACCCACTGTTACACTAAGCAGCTAAAATGGAGGATAAATCAGCCCTCTTTGATTTACGGCCAGCCCGCATTCCATGCACAATTTTTGTAATCTGTATCATAATTACAAAAATTGCAGATAACTTTTTAATATCGACATTAAAAAGGAAAAAAGAAATAGGCAAATCATTCACTGTGTTTTTATTACCGATTTACGAGCCCAAATCAAATGGTTTACGGCTTTGTGTTTTGAAAATATACAGCACAAGGAAACCCTAGCCTGGCGAAATTATGCTTTTATGGTAACGACAGCGATGAGTTACAGTTCTTCTAGTTAAACTATAACGGCCACACAGATGCTGGGAAAAAGCTTTCGTACAACGTTTCGCCACCGTAAGCACAGCACCTGCCAGCACAGCCACGGCGCCCAGAAGAGCACGTTGGCAATTCTTTATGAGTATTATTCTCAAGGAGTGTAATTGGACCATAAACATTCTCTTGGGAATAAAACATCAGTCTGCAGGCTTTAAAAAAATACACAGATGGCACGGGCAGAGGTTTCATTGTGTCTCTGGCCATTGTGCCTTGCTCCACCCCCCTTGGTGTCTCTCCTGAGATGCTCTCCAGAGGCACCAGCACTGGTTCCCAGGGCACATCAAAGCCATTTGCTGGACGTAGAGCCACAGAGCAGTCTCTGAGGCACAAAGTTAGCCAAAAGGTTTTCTTCCACAGCAAAGGATGAGGCAGATGATGGCCATGAGCTGTGGCACAGGACAGTCTAACTGTTATGGTGGTGCACGTTACAGATGTGCCAGGCAGGGGTGAACTGACTGCACTCACTAAGCTAAGAACAGGCAGGAAATGAGGTACATCACATTACTGAAAGAATGACATTGCTTTCATTTGCTGTCACTCCCTTTACAGAAAAGTTCCCCTGCTGCACACTCCTGCTAAGTGAAGGTTTTGGTCCAAATGCACAGCCTGACTTTCTCACCAAAGCAAGTGTCATGGAGTATCTAAGAGTTTAATGAAGGGTACCAATAGGCTGTATAAAACAAGAGCAGCTACCCCAGCACTCCTTTTCAAAGGTTATTATAAATCAGAAACCACAATCCTTGTGTCATGGGAATGTCAGAGAGGTAAAACCATCCCCAAGTGAAGAACCACTGCTACAAATCCACGTGGACATGTGTTCGTCTCGAGGAGGGCTGCTATACTGCAAGAAAACCTTCCCAAGTCCACAGCCCACCAGTTTCTTTATTTAAATCTTTTCAGTCCATCTGGACAGAGTATGAATGAAGATCAGACATTGCATATTTCGTTCTTCATCACTGAACCTGCTCCATCTTACTCAGTATTAAAGCCCTGCTTGTGCCTTGGGCAGCAGTCGCTGACCCTTTGTATTAAGACCTCCTCTGCAGTGCATGCTTCATGCATATGCCCACTGATGTATTTTAGAGTGAAGGCAATTTTTTGTTTTGGATTTCTCTGCTTGGCCTCGTCTTCCTCAGAAAGCACCTCTTCTATCTATTTTTTCATGCCATATATTTCTCCCTACTCCCTGCTGTATTGCGTTGTTGCGTTCCACAGAAAAAGCTTTCTTATGTCTATCTTTGCCAAAACCCCAGGAGCCCCTTAAACGACACTTTGAAGGGCTCTTTATCATTTGGTTGAATTTTCCTCTAATTGTATCCTTTAACTCCAACAGGGGTTTGGGGACATACTTTGTATGAAGGATGCTATAGAAAACACAGTTGCATTGCTAGTGGTTCTGCCTTTATGTTTCGATCCGCACAACTCTCTGCACACCAATTTGCTTTCTCTTTTCCAATACCCGTTTTCTCCCAGGACAGAGCTGTCTTCAAATAATTTAATTATCATGTGGCATACACCTTCTTAGCCCCCTCTGAAACGGCGTGTGATGTCTTCAGTTTACATCACTTGTTGGAAAACACTCCAAAGCATTGAAAAACTATTAAATTGTTACAGTATTGGATGCCAACACACAGGGCTATTAGTCTAATTCATCCTTCAGATCAAAGCCCACACAGGCAGCTCTCCTGCCTACAGCTATTTTCCTTTTACTTTCCTGCTTGACAGTAGTCCCTCGTATCCCTCTGTTCTCCTCTCTTTGAACATACACATTTTCCTTTAGTCACGGAAATATAATTTATGTCCATTATACTGCATTATAGACTGCAGATCGGGACGAGCGCAAGGATCGCCTGCTCATCGTACGTCCAGTTTCCAGAAATAAATAAAAAGGAAGGCACCCCTCTTTGCTGGGGGGAGAGAAAAGCCAAAGGGGGAGGACTGGGGGGCCGCAGCGGGACTCTGCTCTCAAAGTTGAATTTCCAAGCAGGGACCTTGAAGCACGATTTATTAGCAGCATGCTGTTTGCTTTTGTCACGTTGGGATGTGGCGGGGGAAGCAGTGGCCCCACTCCAACCCAGACCACCCAGTGAGCTGCTGGCTACCGGCAGGCACAGCCCGGTGCAATGGGTCACCCCAACTCTGCAGCTCCAGCCTGGCTTGGAGGTGAGAGCAGCAATAACAGCAACATCCCCTTCACCCCCCCCTGCATCCCCCCAGAATAAAAAATAAAATAATTATATCCTAACAGACGGGCTGTCTGGGACGAGAGAATTGCAAAAACAGTCCCCACCCCAACAGGGAGAGTGTGTGTGTGTGTGTGTGTGGAGGAGAGGGAGAGTGAGGAGGGGGGAGAGAGGGAACGAGGCAGACAGAGGGGAGGGAAGAAGGGAGGAGGGAGCCCACGCTCTGAGAAACATCACTCCATCTCTCTCACTCCACGGGAGCTGAGCAAGGAGCAGAACGATGTTTGACAACACGCAGTACCCCTATAACTGCTTTAATTATGATGGTGATGATTATCCTACCTGTAGTTCTGACGAAGAAAAGAAATTCACCAGACCGGCATATAGGTAAGAGGAAGTTTCCCCAAGTCCCCCAGCCCTGGGGAGGGTTACTGAGCTGTGGGATGGTGAGATCAGAGCGTGTGGGGCAGTGGGGCTCCTCATCCCAGGTGTGCGTGGTGGGGTTGGGGCCATGGTGGGCACATTTCCCCCTTCCTGTGCTTGAAGTGCTCAAGGTTTGTTTTGTCTCCTGTGGGGTCACAGTGCTGAGCCACCAAAGCTCAAAGGGTCTCCACTGACCTCCGGGAGCCCTGGGAGAAGGGGATTGAGATGTGCAGCATGCCAGCAGGGGAGTGGGATGCAGATAGTGCCCAGTGTGGTGTGGAGAAGTGTGGTGGGTGCTGTTGGGGCAGCTGAGGTCCATGTCTTGAGCAGGCAAGGCTCTGGTGAGGGGTTTCTCTGCAGCCTTTTGTCTCACAGAAACTTTTCTGATGGGGTTCAGGAGGTGGGTGATCTTCCTTTAACCCTCAGGGACTCAGTTGTCTGGAATTGCTGCCTGCTTCTCGAGCTGATTACTGCAGTGACTGCTCTCAGGACTCATCCTAGGACATCTCGGGTCACAGCGCAGAAAAGAAGAACTTTTGGAAGCAGAATCATGGACGCACACATACCTGTGTGGTCCTAATAACAGTGTAGGGGTGAGGAGATGGTGTAACTGCAGTTTTCCTTTTTTTCAGCTACATTGCCTTAATTGCAATGGCCATCCAGCAAAGTCCTTCAAATAAAGTCACCCTCTCTGGCATTTATGACTTCATAATGAAGAAATTTCCTTACTACAGATCAAATCAAAGAGCCTGGCAGAACTCCATCCGGCATAACTTATCACTAAACAGTTGTTTTGTAAAGGTAAGACCCGTAACTGTGCATTTACATACAAAACGTGTGCATGGCTAAAAAAATTATTCAGGAATAGTTTCATCACTAGGAAGGAAGGAAAACGAACAGCTGAGCCACAAATCACTTAAATCTGCCTAAGCTGTCAATTGCAGAGATAAAGAGTATATCCCCGTCTGATGCCTGCTAATAGATAACAAACAGAAGAGGCTGGAGCTTGCATCCTAGTCATATAATGAAACAGAATAGGCTTAGAAGTCTTGTCATATGTGTTTACACCATTCTTGAATGTAAATGAATGCAGATGTTTTGCAGCAACATCTGTAACACATACAAATACTGAACTGCCTTTAAATAAATACAGGTTCCCAGAACAGAAGGGAATGAGAAGGGGAAAGGAAACTATTGGAGCTTTGCAACGGGATGCGAATCCATGCTGGATCTCTTTGAAAATGGGAATTACCGGAGAAGGCGGAGGAGGAGGAACATGAAAAAGGAACATAAAGAGCAAAGATCAAGCAGAGGGAAAGGGTCTTCGTCCCCTGATACATCTCCTATGGACTCCGCTTTAAACAGCACTTCCTCTTCTGAAAGCATACATGAAAGAATTGGCTCAGAACCAAGACTACTGGAGCCCCGTGGGTTTGCTCCAAACAGCACAGCCAGCAGGCAGAGCCTGAGCAGTTCCTCCTTAGCAAAATCGGATTCTGAAATAAAATTCAGCATCGATTACATTCTTTCAGCCCCCGACCCTTTGCCTGTCCTGAGATCTCAATATAATATGCAAGAAAACAAATATCACCTACTGGAGGCCCAGCAGATCAATCTCCAGCTCTGGACAATGTGAAGTTATTTATCCACAGTAACAAAGTCTGGGTTGCAGTGCAGGCTGACATCACTGCCATCAGCTGTCCGCCTCCTCCTCCTGAACAACATTCAGAAGGTGTTTTCCCTTCTCTGTCTGTACCCAAAGAGCTGTGCTGGGCTTGAAGTACAGATAACTGTCACCAGTATCAGTTTTTGCCACGCTGAAATTCATCGTACCCTGACTTTGTTTTCTGAACTATCACAGACACCATCCACCACCACAGAGAGTTTCCTTTTCCAAGCAGGATCTGACAGAACAGACTCACTCCACACCCAGTGCTTTCTTAGAGACAAAGTGAATTTGATTCTACTTTCACTGGTGGAAATTTGGGTTAATTCCTCTGAAATTTACGGCTCAGCTCTTGAGCAGATCTGCAACGGCGTAATTCTGTTGATCTACACTGGCTAAGAATGTAATGGGGTGGGGGTGAGCATTTGTTTTCTTAAAATGAATCACAGGAAATCAGTCTGTCTTCTCTTAATTTTGATTTTAGCATCACATCCCAAACTGTTGTGTACTATGCAGCTTTAATCCATTGTTATTTCGTAAATATAGCTATTAATATGTGTTTAAGGTATATTTTTGTTGATGTTCAGAGCAGAATTGTTCGAAGTGCAGAAGCTGTGTTCAGGCTAAGCACATGAAGGCTGGTTGTGAGGCTGTTGAATACTGGCAGACACCAATAGATGATGTGACAGAGGCATAGGGTCTCCTCATGCCTTGATTTAAAAACAGAAATTCCCCTCTCCCTCATACTACCAGCAAATGTCTCCAGATGCTGCAGGAAAGCCCTTCACCACATTTTGTCTAGCAAGTACGAAGGGAGACCTGGGGTTGCAAGAAGCTGCATTCTGTGTCAGCCACAGCCAGAATCCCATCTATCTGCTCTGAGACAAGTTGTATATTCCTACTAAAAAGATTTCTATCGATCCTTCTTGCTAGCAATTGACAAAGTGGTACCTGATGAGATTTCAGGAAGGCTGGTGAGCTGAACTATGCACAGAGAGCCACGGTAGCTCCTGATCTCCATTCCTAATGAAAACCATTCCAGCACCATTTACACACTGTGGGATGTTTCAGAACAGATCCTGAAGGACAACGCTGAGCTCTACATGGCATTTAGGAACTTGTTCTTATGTAACTTGTCCATAAGTAATCATTTCCTGGTACCGAATGGCAGCATCAGCAGCGATGCCACAAAGCCTTGGTTTTGGCAACCAGAAACATGGCCTAAGGAAGGTAAAAAAGCAGACAAGGGTTCTGGTGGTTTTCAGCAGTTATGTAGAGAGATAAAGTTATCTTTGCAACATGAACAAAATGAACGTATACGAGATAAGACTGAGCAAATTGTTCCAGAGGTATGCTCAGGCATGACTTGAATTTTTATGCAGAAGCTTCGACATTTCACTAAGTTATTTTACATTGTGTCTAATATATATTGTACATTTATACTATAAATTCTTATATATTGTTATTGAGAAAGGGAGCGATATCGCTGCACTTAAATGTTGTAAAAATGCATGATGTATGTAGCCGTGCTGCTGGAAGTCCTGCTGCCTGCTCACAATTCACCACCTGCAGTATTTCACACCGATTGGTAATAAATGCTTGGTTGTTTTTTGCTTTTTGTTTTTTTGTTTTTTGGAAAAGCAGACAGCTTGCTGTCTTCAGCCATTGCCGTGGCACACCAAAGTCTTTGCTTCTTCAAAAAAAAGCCAAATGGGCAATCGTGTCAAAGTCTCATTGCTGCATGTTTTCTGAACTTCCAAGGCGTGACTTCTTGTGACCAAACCGTGCCTCCAAAGGGAGCTCTCAGTTCCCTGTGAATCCACACTTGACCTTGGCTGCTATCTGAACACACAGCATGAAGGGTTAGACTGGCCCATGCCCTGTGTACACCAACGTTGGAAAATCTCTAGGATCACAGGCAGATGGACTGTCATCTGAAGAGAGGTGAGACGTTGCTCCCTTGGCACACGTGGCAGTATGGAGGTGTGGGAAGTGTGCCCTCATGGGTACTTCAGTGTCTGCATGCACTCCATGGTGGTACGTGTGCTTCCTCCCCACAGCTATGTATTCACTCTTTACACTCATCTCTTTTTCTAGATTGTTTTAAACGTGGCAGTGCTGCTGTTTGGCTGATAGTTATCCTAGACATCAGCACTGCATTTGAAATATCTCTTTTTATTGCCATGAAGTGTGCAAATGTTTCTTACTATTTGTTCTTTGTTCCTGCTTTTAGCCAAAGGTAAATGACAGCAAAAGTTCCTACCAAGCACACGTCTCACCCAGAGGAGCACAGAGTGCTGCCCAATGGAGGAACTGTTATGGCTGCTATGCAATGCAGCATAAATGCATTAGGAAAGGCAGAAATATACCCATGGAGATCCAAAACCATTTACAATAAGATGAATTAATATTCACAAATAGCCATTTCCTCTGCTCACAGTAAAGTACCTGCTAGGAGAGACTGTCTTACTTGAATTTCTCTAACATATAATCAAAGAAATTTGTGTACCAATAGGTGTTAACATTTGTTTTGCAAAGGATATCAATCATATTTCAAAAAATGAAGGGACATATTTCAATTTACCCACTGTATTATATTCTGACGACTCCAGAAAGGTTTCCAGCACTTAAAGTGAATGGCATTTAATATAGAACAACATAACAGGGGTGAGGGCTAGACGTGACCTTATTCAAATGTCGTAGCCATTACAAAGCCATTCCTGATGTAATTATAATTAAATACTTTATGCCTTTCTTGCAAATCCTCTGATCGATCATTGATATTAACATTAATATTGTATTACCCCCGAGCAAATGTCTCCCACACAAGTGTTATGGATCACCAGGTTTCCATTAACAAAGTTGTGAGCTATTGCCATATGCCGGTCGTGGATAAATTTACGTAAATTACCTTTTCTTGAGGAAGAGGGGAAAAAGTCTAGGATTTTTTTCTTTTTATCCCTGCACTCTGAGCCTGGTGCTATTTCTTCAGCTCCATTTACAGCCCGTCAGCAACTTCTATACAGCCATCACCAGAGAAAAATCTGACAGGAACGTCCCTCTTCGCTGGGTGAGGGCAGGGGTCTGCACACCACTGATGCCATCACTGGGATGGTTGTGCACAGCAGACAACATGAGCAGTGGTAGTGGTGTGGGACTGAACTCCTCATTTTCAGGGGTCTTCTTAGCTGCAAATGGAAACTCAGGAGTCTTGGATTTCCTAACTCTAAAAGATGTGCTTCCTTCGGGGGCTGATGCTGGCTGTCTCAAGGCTGGAGCTGCCTGGAAGGGGAAAGCAAGCCTGTTGCCCTGTGCTTTTAGGGTCATGAATACCCTAATACCACCATGAAAGGTGAGAGTTTTCTGTCTGGGTATAAGCTAAGTTCAGCCTCACTGAGGGACCCCAGGTATTTATTTATCCTTTTAAAGGAAGGCTTCCCATGATAAATCAAAGATTTTGATGGAACTATGGCAGGTTACTCTGCAGCAAATTGACTTCCAAAGACTCAGTTTTTTGGGCTGTGTGCAAATCTTTGCACACCCATGAACTTTGGTTCAATTACTTTTGGAATTGAAACAGCAAGTGTGAAAATGAACACTGCATTTCGTACCCAACATCCTCTACATGCACAGCCTGCCAAAATGTGTCATCTCCAAGGCAGCATCCTTCAAGCAGCAAATGGTCCTTCCTCATTATTCTGCCTCAGCATCCAGCTTCTTTCTCCAGAACATGGCTGCTGTTTGCACTGCAAGGCACAAAGAGCCTCCTGCATACCCTCTGTCTCTCTTCTACTGGGAATGTCCTTCACATCGCACGTCAGGTCATTAAATTAAAGATCTGGGTAGGTCCAAGCCCTACTGAACATTGGAATTTTTTTACCCAGAGAGCTAACATAAAATAACAAAGTAAGCTGTGCTCCCTCCCACCCTATTACAATAGTTGGAGGCAGATCCAACTGTGAGAATTTTGCCTGAGAAAGAACTGCAGGATTTCTCCCACTGTGAAATCCAGCTGTTAATTCAAACAGAAGGGATGGACCTGACCAGATAGGCCAGCTGGCTTGTTTCCATCCCAAAGTCCATTCTGCTCCACAAGTTCCTAAATTTATGGTTATGAAGGTCTTCCAAGCCCTTGTAGCAGAGTATGGCATGCAATGTTTTTGTTACGGAATGCACTCTGCAAAGGAAAAACAAGGTTTGAATTTATCTTTCAAATGAAGATCCTGGAATCTCTCAGGATAAACAGTCTAAATTAAGAATCAAAACACCCCATGTTTCTCACCATAACTATGAAACTGAAAATAAGCTCTTGCAGAGAACTGTCAGAGAGGAAAACTACAAGTTGCAGTAACCCAACCACGATCTCTTTCTGAGATCAGTATTTCTGTGCTGCTCACTGTCAGTCCGTTGCAGGGGATGGTGCTGTGCAGCCAGTGGAGCAACCTTTCATTGCAGGGGTACTTGCTAGTTCCAGCACTTGGCCTTACAACTCCATGTATGTGGATCTAAGTGCCCCCCTGAAGCTGCAGTTTCCATAACTGCTAATGGTGAAACGCTGTCATGTTTTCCTTTGCCCAGGAAAAAAAAATTAGGATAGAATCAACTTTCCTCTTGAGCCCAAAAAGCTCTGCTGACCATTAGCCATCTGTCCCGAACACATCTGCTCCAGTTGAAAATCCTTTCTGAGGTTTTCATGCCACAGATATTTATTACTACATCAAAATTACTTCCCATTTTCCCCTCTTCAGCTCGAGGCATGACACTGTGCTAGTATTGACTGCCACCATTATCCTCTGCTGCCACTTTCTCCTTCCAGCATGGACTCCATAGGAATGGGAAAAAGAAGCAGAAATGAATGTGGAAAATAGCAGGTGTAATGAGCTGTGTTTTGTGATTAATCTGTCTCAATCTTCACAGAGGCTGTGGGCTATACGAGCAATTAGCAAGCCCTGGGAGGCATTTTAGTGCTAATCAGCCCATAACATTGTTCTGCACTGGAACATCTAGGACTGGCTTCATAGGTTGAATCCTCAATCTCTAGAAATGAATGGGAGTTTGCCGTTGGGTTCAAGTGATCAAAACTTCATCCAGTGCTGCCAGGACCAGAGACTGTTCAGATTAAATGCTGTGTTGACTGCAGAGAAAATCAAATACCTTCTATCAGATATTTGGGTTCTCTCAAGACAAATTAGCAGCTTGTTTCCACAGGTTTCTTTGGCTCTGTCTTTCAGCCAGACAAAATACTCCTTGAATTCAATGGAAGATGTGTACAAACAGGGAAGAAGTTCCCCGAAGCCCAAGGGCTGAACATAGCAAAACCAGATGTTGGCAGCTGGAGAGATTCCTGGTGCAAAGTCCTCTGTGTGTTCTCTGATGGTACCTCTGTGTTGGGGCTGGTGTACACATCCAAACAAACAAGTTACACTAAGCTAATGCCCAGACTTTGGATCTCAAATTTTCCTCCAATGGGAAACTGTCCCAAATCTGCTAAAGTTTGGCAAAGGAGTGACACTGTATTACTTTCTATTTTGTTTTGCTGTTGATGAAATTACAGGAAAATAAATGTTTTCAAGATGATACATTGTGTATCCCTAATAAATACCAAGGGCATTTAATATAAACTATGGACACATGGTTTGCTTTGTTGTTCTAAGTAACCATTTCCTTTTAACCAAATGAAAAACTAGTTGTGCTGCGATGCTGCAGATTATAAATTAGCAGCTCTCATATGGTTTTGTGCAATTGTTTCTCAAAGAGCTTTAGGCTACTTCAGACAAAAAAAAAAAATTCAAATAAAATATGAATTCATTGAACTGTAACTTACGGTATTAGATTTATAACAAACAAAGGTAGGTCACATAATCATGTCACTGAAAACAACACTTTAAATTTCAAGCAGCAACATTTTAATCGAGTTTTGGTTCTGGTTCTGAAGTCAAGAGGAAGCTTGGCTCTTCCTGCTTTCCAGTGCATGAAACCAAGGCAAGCCCAGAGCAGGCAGTAAGCATGTAGCAAATACTTTCAGACAGGTTTGCTGCGGTGGCAGAAGAGCTGGGGACAAAGTGAAACCAGGGCTGGCCCCAGCAGGGAGGCATCTGTGTGGCAGGGCAGTGGGTTGCTGGGTGCACCTGCTGGACTTCCTCAGCTACAGGAAGGAGTGTGCCATAATGGATAAAAACCTCCTTTGCTTCTAATCCTGACTCTGCATCATGGATGTCATTTCGTTCTGGAAGAGCAAACAGGGTTCATGAGACGTAAACCAACCTGCTATACCCTCTCATAAGGAATATCCCTATTAGCAAGCAAATTCTCCGTGTGCTGGGCTCTGTGGGTACATGGACACTGTATGGCACACATGAACTTGGTATCTCAGTCTTAATTCTGGGTTGCAATTACTTGGAGCTAAAGTTCAAAGTTTTTCCAACCGCCAGACCTGCAGTTGGTGCTTGTACAGCTACTGAAATTGATTACCAGGCTTCCTGTTTCCTCACTTGTGATCCAGTAATATTGACATACAGTACAAGGAAATTGCAATCTGAACTCTAGTAGCAATAGCTAGAGGCAATTACAGCAGGAGTATTGCTGGTGGTGGCACGTGGATTCCTTTATTAGATGTAACCATATTC